AACTAGATGGATTATGTGTAAAATAATGTTCCATTTGAATGGCAATCAAATTTAACTTCCTAAGAGTCTATTGAAAATTTAAAACAAATTGCATAACGATGAGGCCATATCTGATCAGCGCTAGGATCTGTTTACAATGGCAGAAGTTGAAGTATGGTAATTAACTCGTTTTATCATACTCCTTGCTTAATTCAGATGCAGCTAAAACGAACCATTAGTTCACTAGAGGCCAGTCTACCAAACATCTGCTGATCAGGCGGTCACTCAATCTCAAGACTAAGGCACCGATACCATATGTTTAACCCATTAAATGTTTACTGAAACCGATAGTCATTTTCGCTTAAAGGTCAGAATGATTGATGACCTCTCGTTACTGCCTGCTCTATTTGCGCCGACACTCCCCAATAACAGACAACGGCAGAGAAGAGCTGACCCGATGCTCGCACTGATTGAAGGCTGTCAGCATATGCCATCGTCATTATAATCGAGAGACTCAGAGGCGACTGCCATTAATTAATGTAAACGGCCTTTGATAAAACCCTACGCGTCTGTTATCATTTGTTTATGTCCGCGGATGTGCAGGTATTTCTAATGGAAGTCAGTAGGGTTCATCATAAGTCTAGTGAAGGTTTGCAGATTTACAAGTAAAACATATATGCAAAATTGCTTGAATAATGCTGAATTGTTGTACCTTCTTAAGCAGATATACCGGCAACACGGCCTCTGTTCCAAAGGAATCCGTTGCATGGGCATCCATTTCATTTTGAATCAGTTTGTCAACGTTCCAAATTGCCTTATAACAGCATCACGCTCTATTCTAGAATTTTAGATCATTCATATGAACTTGGACTTCTGTTCGACCTTTTCAAAATCAAAGTGTCGACAGAATGAGTTCATATTTACATTGAGGAAGTTTTCTCTGGCCATCTATATTTCTTCATTGTCATTCCGCTTACTGAACCAGTACCAGCTGTGTTAACTTCATCTATATCGATCTCGGTCACATGGTTGCTCGGATAGCCTGAGGCATTTCAGATGTATTTAAGTGGCGAAGAAGAGCGGAAATGACTTTCACCTCAAAAACCAGATGTTGCTTAATTGCCCAGCTCGCTCGCCGAGTGGCTGTCAAATTCAAGCGTTTATTCAACGTAAGGGAAAAAGTCAGTTCAGTAAGAAAAGATCGCCCGTGTGATTTAACATCATTGTTCTACGAAACGGAGGGCCACTTTTGCTTTCAGATTTTTTTAGCGTTTTTACTGCACCTCCATTTCTGCTTTTCATATCGATTGTGGTTAAAATATCGTTTAGCGTCTTCTCCTCCTTGTGTCATTGCACCGAAGACGATGTCAAGTTCCGCGCATGTATTTCACTTGGATCGAATCTATGCGAACTCACATTTCAATTTTCTCGACGTCATGTAAGTTCAAACGAGATCTTCTCAGCTTGTTGGAGGTTTTCCCTGCGACAGCCTGTCGTCAGGCTTTGCTTTAAGTATCAGCTTCGCCAAGCGGCTCCCCCTGCTGTTCATTTGTGGGCAATGATCCACCATTCTAGACGCCTTGTTTGCGGTCATTGACTTTAGTTAGATTTTCTAATCTCTCACTTACTACAGCATTTGAGACAAGATCTTACAGCTTCGCTCATAACATCGATCATAAATTCTTCATTTCTGTGGCCTCCAGTTTTCTATCGTCAGTTCTGTAAACTGCTACCGTCATCAAGCCATATAAAGGGATGTTCCGAATGCAAGCTTTGCATACTGTGAGCTTCATTTTTTTAAAACAACTTTGTACTTATCTTGTCCAGTGTACTCCGAAAATGCATATGTTCTGATTCGTCTTTTCTTTGTTTGGTACGTTCGCCATAATTACTATATCAACAGTCAGACATTCTTCGGCATGGTTTCTGTCAATCTCCATCCGCTTCATTTTCTTTAAGTTAATGGAGAGATTCAGATCAGAACACGCCTGCTTGAGAGTTAGGAACAGTAATATCATAGCTTCGAAATTTCAGGCAAGGAATACGACATCGTCTGCAAGTTTAAGGCAGTTTACGCAGTTGCTGTTTACTCTAGCCGTCATATCTTCATTCCTATGCATTGGCTGGAACATTCAGACAAAGAACGTTGGAAAGAGTAGTAGAGATTCTACTCTTCCATGAATTACTGCAATACTTCTTTGAAAAAATTTGTGTAACTTACCATCAATTCGCACAGTGTTTAGCGAAAGATCATACATCAGTAATACCTGGTGCAATTCCGTATTGTTCACTAACTTTCCGTAAAGCATTTCTGCATATTGAGCGAAGATGCTTCGGTGAAATTGAAAAATACTGCAAAGAAATAAGATACCGATTTTCGTTTCTTTCCCAACAGCTGCCTCGTTGTGAATATGGTCAAATATCATCTGAATCCCTGAATCTAGACTGCTCTTCATCGAAGATCTTCTCGATAGGGTAGCCAATCCTGTTCACCATAATACATGTGAAAACTTTAGCAGGAACGGATCTCATCTTTCTTCCGCACTAATTCAACGAGAAACAGGAATGCCTCCGTACATTTTAAATTTCTTAATTAATTCTGACTGTACTTCATGAGAATCTGCAGCACTGGCACTGTTACTTCTCATTTGGCGCAAGGCTTCAATCATTTCATCAAGCAATATCTCCTGAGTCAGCGTCGATCTTTTTTTTTCGAATATAACATTATTCAGTGAATATTTGAATTTTCAAATCACATCAGAGGCTAGTAGCGATTCAAAGTGTTTTCTCCATCTCTCAATCACTTATGTATATAGGATCAGAAGTGATGTTACCACACTCCTTCAGAGCAGATATAAATCGAGGTTTCTTTTCTTAAAGCAGAAATTCACATTCCTGAACAAGCCTTTCATATCATTTCTCTGAGCCGGATCTTCCACTATTTGAGCCTGTCACTCTCAAAAAAGAGCGTTATGTTTCCTTCAGGTTAAGCTCATTTCCATCAAAGCATATCCATCCTTTCAGAGGAAGTCTGCAACGCTTCTGATCGTTCACAGATGTTTGAGCTTCGGCAGAAGATACCGGAATTTGGGGTAGACTCTGTCAGATTTCCCATCTCATAACATTTCCCACTTGATTCGCTGACTGCTCCTGCTGTCGAGTCTTCGCAGGTATTCCGTCGTGTACAACGGAGGATGCCACAACTAGGCAATGATCGGTCTGCAATCACAGTGTCATAGATTGGACGAAACGATCATG